TGGAGAAATAATGCTATGCCTTTTACACTACATATCTCTATGAAGCCATTTTATGTAATTCCACCTTATCAAGCATTCCAGGCTAAGGATCGCTGCTATATTTGGGTTTGCACAAAGTGAAGGCTCACTCAGCTTTAATATTTTATGTGTGAAAGCACATCGACATTCACTTATGTTGGAATAAATCATTTCCAAAATCAATGTGACAGCAGCGGCTTATTGTGCTGTGACAGTGCATGTAAATATGAACAATACATTGTTTTCTGTTATAGTAAACTATTTGTACATGTCAGATCATGCTGGGGTCATCACTGGTCCAGCTTTTGAGTTTGTTATAGACTTTTGGTTTGAGTTAACTTATGTTCTGCTGCTGTTTCGGTTAATCTTGAGGTCCTTTTTTCCTTTGCCTCTCAGTTTTCATTATTTATTTTCGTACTTTTTGATTTCTTGTTTTATTATGTGAGTGCCCCTCTTGTGTCCTGTCTGTCCCAGTCTTGTCTCTGTGTTGTCCTTTGTCTCTCTGGTCATGCTCCCGTGTCTGTCTGGTCTCTCTGTGTCCTGTTTTGATGGCTCTCTACGTTCCCTGTCTTGTCTAGTTAATATGTTTGTAGTCCTGTCCCTGTGCTTATCTCTCTGTGTTGTGTCCCTTTGTCTCCCAGTCTGTCCAGTCTCCATGTTTGTTTATCCCAGTTCCAGTCTGTAAAACGCGTGTTAGTCTGAGAGCTCTGGTTCTTCTTCCCAGTGGTGTGGTTAATTTGTGTTAGTGATGTCAACACAGTAACACACACTCCAGAGCAGTTCGTTTATGGTGTGAATCCGACCTCAACCCTAACCAATTATAGAGCTGCTTTTCTTCTAAATGTGGCGAGGTACTCTAGATGTGCAAAGGTCTGCACGAGCTAGCAGCTAGCCATGAAAACAACGTAATTTCTCGGTGCTCTCCAAAAGTCCAGGATACACCACCTGTGTTTACTTTTGTTGCTGTCAACCGAGACACATCTGGTCAGTGAGCGGGCTGAACATTCTCACATGGTTTGTAGTGACACATTGTGTCTCTGCTTCCCTTAGTCGCCCTCCTGCGTCTCCCTCTGTTCTTTGTTGTGTTGTCCCTCATGGTGTGTGTAGTCTCTGTCTGGTTGACCCTGCCCGGCTTTACCTGTTGTGTTTTGCTGCCTTTTTACCAGCAATAAAGCAGTGGTCTTTGGTTTTATAGTCTTTCTGCTGAGTCCTGCATTCCCGGTCCACTCCCTGCCTGTCACTGTCATGTCTTGGACTCTTGCCTCAAAAGGCGTTCAGTGTGAGGATTTTATCCAATACTAATGACTTAATATGCTCACTCCAGTAAATCATGAAATTTCCCCTTTTAAACTCCTGCAAACAAGCAGAGGCTGGTTACAGTCTTTTGTATCTTTTCAGATGTTTAAAGGGAAGCAGTTTTTCCTCTAAACCTGTTAGGCGGCTGGTGGGCCTTTGGAAGTCTTGTGACTCTAGACTGGCAAACTAAGACTACAGTTCTCAAGCTGCATGCACACTGGAACAGATTTTCTTGTCACACATTGCTTGAAAACTGACGGCTGGACATTTGAGGCTCTATTTGTCTACGTAACATTCTAATGTATTCACTACAAGATTATATGTCAAACGGCAATATTCTTCCCTCTCATTAGTAGTCGCTTGTCTCAAGTTGAGAAAAGTTTATAGAATAGAATAGAATAGAGTAGAATACGCCTTTATTGTCATTGTACGTGTATAACGAAACTGTGGGTGCTCCACACCAACTGTGCTGGAATAAAATATAAATAGTAGACAGCAGGAATAAATAGCAAACATGAGAAATACAGTACTTTATATACAAAAATAAGAGAAAGTCACACATTAGAGTACAAAATAGTTGCAAAGTGACTGGAAGTAGTGCAAAGAAAAGACTTGGTCTGCATAGAGTCTGTGTGAGTGGAGTTACTCAGACCATGGCTCAGAGGTCAGAGGTGAGTGGGCAGGGGTGGGGCGTGGGGGGATAGTGTATGTTAACAGTTCTAATGGCCCAGGGGAAGAAGCTGTCTGTGAGTCTGGAGGTGTGGGGTCTGATTAACCTGAGGTTCTGAGCAGAGGGCAGCGGGTCAAACAGGTGGTGAGCGGGGTGCAAGTGGTCACGTATGAACGTCCTGGTTCTCCTGTGACACAAGGATTGGCCTCCAGGGGTGGCAGAGGGCAGCCAATGTGTTAAGTACCTTCTGTGTAGCCTTCCGGTTCTCAGTAGTGCCCCCTGCGTACCAAACACCCAGTCAGCAGGAGAGCACGCTCTCCACTGAGGAGCGGTAGAAGGCCAGCAGCAGCTTCCGGTCCAGGTTTTTCTACCTCAGGATACGGAGGAAGTGCCAATGCTGGGCCTTCTTTACCAGGGCGATGGTGTTGTGTGTCAAGGTGAAATCAATGGAGATGTGGGTGTCCAGAAACCTGAGGGTGGAGACAGATTCCACCCATTCTCCATTTATAATGAGAGGGGAGTGGACCTGTCTGTGTCTCCTGAAGTCCACAACGAGTTGTTTTGTTTTACGGACGTTCAGCGTCAGGTTATTTTCTGAGCACCAGCAGGACAAGTTCTCTACTATGCTGTCTCATCTCCATCAGAGATGAGCCCAACCACAGTGATGTCATCGACATACTTGATGATGACGTTAGTTGGGTGGGTTGGTGTACAGTCGTAGATGTACAGGGCATACAGAACAAGGGGCAGGCGGCAGGGGGGATGTTAAGGTGGTCCAGTTTGGTTGTGAAAAGTCTGGGATTCTGGTGCTGATTGCTGAGATGTAGTCCATGAAGTCCATGAAGAACCTCCTCACGCAGCTCTTCCTGTTCTCCAGGTGGTTAAGCGCTCTTACTATCCGCTCTTAGCACTTAATGACTACAGACACGAGGGTTATAGATTAATAGTCATTGACGCTGCCTATACCAGTCTTTTTGGGTATGGGAATGATGACAGAGGCTTTCAGACAGGTGAGAGCGGTGGCATGAGTCAGGGAGAGGTTGAACAGCCTGGTGAGGATCCCTGCCAGCTGTTCAAAGCAGGCTTTAACCACAGCTCCTGGGAGGCCGTCAGGGCCAGCAGCGCTCCTAGGGTTCACCGCTCTCATTGTTTTCACCAACTTCCCATCTCCAGCAGTTATTTAACATGTCGATGAGTGTGATTCAATTTCTGCGGTTTCTGGTCACCTCATTGCTACAAATCCTCTCCAGCGTGAACACAGCTTCAGGCTGTTACTCCCAGTGTTTTGTAGTAGGTTTGGTGAAGTCTACGTTTTACTGTGGCTATAATTTACCTATTTCTGCTTCTTTTGCAAAGGTTTATTTAAATATTTAACACAAACTCTACGTTTATGTTTGAGTTATTTTGAGTTATTAGTCTTTTGATTATTTACTTGTTTAGTTTTTTTTTGCATGATTTTTCATTTCACTATAATAAACTGTGATAGTACCGTATTTGCTAATAAAATAAACTGGACACATCATCTTGACTTTGAATGTAAAGCTTATAATATTTGGATTAATATTAGCAATTTAAATCTGATACAGAAATGATGTCGTCTTTGTTTCTATAAAATTAAAAAAGCATGTTTGTTTGCATTCAGAGACAGCATGTGCTGTAGCGGATGGTTTATTACGAGGATGCTTTTAGTGGGATTTTCACTCACTCTTTGTGGGAGAAAACTGTAGGCATAGCATTTGGGTTTTAGATGTTGCTATTAACCAGCAGCTCTTTTGAGCTCCATTAGTGGTCTAAATGCATCAGTTAGCTGAAGTACCGTACAAAGACAGCAAATCTGTAGCAATTACACCGCTATAGACACAGAGTAATGCCAGCAATGGAATTGATTTCAAAATCCTGCTCCTCACATACAAGTTCTTGAATAATCAGGCCCCATCTTATCTTAATGACCTTGTAGTACCATATCACCCTATTAGAGCACTTCGCTCTCGCTCTGCAGGCCTACTTGTTGTTCCTAGAGTATTTAAAAGTAGAATGGGAGGCAGAGCCTTCAGTTTTCAGGCCCCTCTTCTGTGGAACCAGCTTCCAGTTTGGATTCGGGAGACAGACACTATCTCTACTTTCAAGATTAGGCTTCAAACTTTGCTTTTTGCTAAAGCATATAGTTAGGGCTGGACCAGGTGACCCTGAATCCTCCCTTAGTTATGCTGCAATAGATGTAGGCTGCCGGGGATTCCCATGATGCATTTAGTTTTTCTTTCCAGTCACCTTTCTCACTCACTATGTATTAACAGACCTCTCTGCATCGAATCATATCTGTTATTAACCTCTGTCTCTCTTCCACAGCATGTCTTTATCCTGTCTTCCTTCTCTCACCCCAACCAATCACAGCAGATGGCCCCGCCCCTCCCTGAGCCTGGTTCTGCCGGAGGTTTCTTCCTGTTAAAAGGGAGTTTTTCCTTCCCACTGTTGCCAAACTGCTTGCTCATAGGGGGTCATATGATTGTTGGGTTTTTTGCTGTATGTATTATTGTAGTGTCTACCTTACAACCTTATGTTGTGATTTGGCGCTGTATAAATAATATTGAATTGAATCTTAGAATAGTAAATATATATAAAATAAAGAAATCTTACAAGCTAAAATAATCACAATCAGAGTAAAATAAAAGTTAAACCCATATACCGGGTTTATCAAATGCTAGCACACAGATTATTTAACACCTCTAAACTGACCAGATTTGATCCAGGAAAAGCTTCCCTGGACAAAGTATTGATCCTTTGTGTTGGCTCAAACAGCCCTGGATTGTCCTGACATAAACGTACACTTTCATCCCTTTGGCAGTCATCTTGTAATCCAGTGGAAGGGATTATTGCAATAAGTCATTTAGGAGGATCTAACCAAATGTGAGGATTTGAAATGTATCCCAAGAGAGATTCGGGAATATGCACTTGGTGACTGAAGAAAAATAGATGCGGTTGGACTGAGGAGAAGAAAATATGCTTCTTTGTTACTCACCTATATCAGACTCTTTGTGGTTCTTGATGAGCTCAGCAAGCTCAAAGTTTCCAGCAATAATGGCAACCTGGTGAGAGAAACAGCCAAGCACAGACACGACAGGGAGTGAGTGTGAGACGGAGAAAAAGAAACACAAGAATTTACACGTGGATTTTTTTAAAACAAAAGTAGCCTTTTGTGAACTGCTCTGAGAAACAAATCGTGAAAATGAAGCAACTACATGACGATAAACTAACTGACATTTTGGTCCTTTGTGAAAAAAAGCAATGCAAATTAGCCATATGGTGTGATCTTAGGAGTAGGGGTGGGTTTTTATAATCGATTCATCGATTAAAATCGATTCTGGCTTGGATAACGTAAAATCGATTCATTAAAATCCTGAATCGATTTTTTAATATAAATTTATTTTGTCCGAAATGCCAGAATCTCTGGTGACATCTCACAAAATTTCAAGAACCACCAAACAGTAAATGAGAGCAGGTACAGGGATTCTGCACATAGACTTAAACACACAGCGCGACCCGCGGATCAGAATCAGTGAGATGTCGCCTTTCTCACGGTCGGGGCTGAAAGCCGACAGCTCGCTGATTCTGATCTGTCGGCGGGTCCAAGCTTTGTGTTCACGCCCTTTATGAGCCGATTCTAAAGCTGTTAGTTTGATCTCTCTCCAAACAATATTGACCGAACCAGCAGCAAAAGAAGATCCAAACGCTTCACATAAACATCGTCATGAATTCCCTCTTTTACTGTTTTGCTTCCATTGCGATGCGCAGCTCTCTCTCTCTCCCTCTCTCCCTCCACCCCCCCTCTCGAACAGTTTCGCTTTCTTCATTATTCGCTTGCTTGTTACACAAGTCTACTGTTGCTTACAGCGCTGTCGGCCGCTGTTTTTTCCCCTTTTACATTCTTCCGAAAAGAAAACCTCATTTCTGCTGTTCAATACTGAACAAATTGAAACTTTTTAAAATTATTCAAAATGCCAAATGCTTAGCCGTGTCTCTAATAAAACCGCTGTAACGTCAGAGGTAATGTTCATTAATTAATGGTTTTCTTTCGTTTTTGATGTACTGCAGAATATTTTTATAAAATCCCAGGCCAGGAAAATCACCTTCATGTTTTTCTGTGTTTTATCTTCAGCTACTTTGACACAAAGGCATCTGCTGTGATGCTCACACCTTGGATAAAGTCTTGAGAGTGTCAGCTTCCTTTTTATAGATACAAAAATATGTAAATGTCCTGATCTGAATTATATCTCTGACTGTCAAAATTTCCCAGATTTAAATCGAATCGTGGATCGAATCGATTCGGGACCTTGTGAATCGGAATTGAATCGATTCTAGAAATCAGTGACGATACCCAGCCCTACTTAGGAGCTTTCTTATTGGTTAATGTTTTCTTTCCTTTCTTTTCCATTTGAAAGACAGATAAATAGTTCATTTATAAATATATATTCATTATCCTTCTTTTTACTCTCCAATAAATTATCAAGTAATAAATTACTTTATTAATGACTAAACATAAGAATGCTTTCTTTCACTCCTGGCCTTCCATGCAACATGAGGCTCTTACAGAATAATTCACAAGGGAACCACAAATGATTGTCTCTAAAAGCAAGAACACATAACAGAAGAAAATTACAAAAGTGCAAGCAGGAAAAAGCGTTAATCACAATAATGAGAGTCTTTTTTTCCCTTCAAATTGGTAAGATCAAGCTGGAGAAGCCTGGAATCTACTTACCTATTACACACATACACTGATCAGACATAACATTGTGTCCATTGAAAGGAAATAACACCGATTACCTGTTTATTATGTCACCTGTAAGTAGTTAGGGTACACACGGAGCAAGTGAAGAGCTGTTCCCAAAGTTGATGTGTTAGAAGGAGGAAAACTGGGCAAGTTTGAGTTTGAGATGGCTAGACGACTAGATCAGAAAAGTGCAGATCTGTGGAGTGGTCCCAGTCTGCAGTGGATAGCATCTATAAAAAGTGGTCCAAGGAAGGAACAATGGTGAACCAGTGGCAGGGTCAAGGCTTGCTGATGCATGTGGTGAGCAAAGGCTTCCTGTGTGGTCGGATAAAACAGATGAGCAACTGTGGCTCAAACTGCCTCAAAGTTAAAGCTCGTTCTGATAGAAAGGTATGAGAAATCACCGTGGATTGGGGCTGCATAGCCGCAGCGCGGTCGGGGTGCCCATGTGACCGCACTCCATTGCTGAAAGCACCAACAATGGGAGCATCACATGTGAGCATCAGGACTGGACCATGGGGCAATGGAAGAAGGTGGCCTACTCTGATGAACCACGTTTTCTTTTACATTTTTTGGCTGGCCAGATGCATGTGCGTCACTTACCTTGGGAACACCTGGCACCAGGATGCTCTGTTGGGAAATCTTGGGTCCTGCCATCTATGTGGACGTTACTTTGACACATAACATCTGCGTAAGCATTGTTGAAGACCATGTTGATCCTTTCACTGGAAAGGTATTCCCTGATGGCAGGATAATGTATCCTGCCACAAAGCAAAAATACTTTGGCGATGGTTTGAAGAGTACAGGGTGGGCCATTTATATGGATACACCGTAATAACATGGGAATGGTTGGTGATATTAAAGTCCTGTTTGTGTCACATTAGTATATGTGAGGGGGCAAACTCCTCAAGATGGGTGGTGACCATGGTGGCCATTTAGAAGTCGGCCATCTTGGATCCAACTTTTGTTTTTTCAATAGGAAGAGGGCCATGTGACACATCAAACTTATTGGTAATGTCACAAGAAAAACAATGGTGTGCTTGGTTTCAACGTAACTTTATTCTTTCATGAATTATTTACAAGTTTCTCTTTGTTCACAGTCATTGACATGTCGAAGAGGTTAACACGTGAGGAGCGGATGGAAATTGTGTTGATATCTGGTGAACACAGTAACCGGGTCATTGCAGCAGATTTCAATGCAAGACACCCAACGAGACCACCCATCTCCCATGCTACAGTCAGCAAACTGCTTGCTAAGTTTCGTGAAACTGGTTCAGTGTTGGATTTGCCAAAATGTGGACGCAAGAAAACTGTCACTAATGAAGAAACATCAGTGGCTGTCCTAGCTTCATTCGGCAAGAGCCCACAGCGTAGCACTCGCCGCATGTCACTGGAGAGTGGCATTAGTCCAACATCCCTTCAGCGGATATTAGCTACTCACAAATGGCACCCTTACAAACTCCAGCTACTGCAGCATCTCAACGAGGATGACCCAGATCGGCGCACAGAATTTGCAGAATGGGCAAAACACTTTTATGTGAATGGTGACGTTAACAAACAAAACCACCGCTATTGGTCTGACACTAACCCACATTGGATGGATCCCCCCAAGACTGTTGGAACAACAAAAGTGATGGTTTGGTGTGGTATATGGGGTACAACGATAGTGGGTCCATTCTTCATCAATGGAAACCTTAAGGCCACTGGATATTTGAAATTGCTACATGATGATGTGTTTCCCTCTTTATGCACTGAAGCTGGCACATTCCCTGAGTTTTTCCAGCAAGATGGTGCACCACCACATTATGGGTGCCAGGTCCGAGCATTCCTAGATGAACAGTTTCCTGGAAAGTGGATTGATCGTCGTGGGCCAGTTAAATGGCCCCCAAGGTCTCCCGATCTGACCCCCTTAGACTTTTGTCTTTGGGGTCATCTGAAGGCAATTGTCTATGGTGTGAAGATACGAGATGTGCAGCACCTGAAACTACGGATACTGGATGCCTGTGCTGGCATTTCTCCTGCGGTGTTGCTATCAGTGTGTGAAGAGTGGGAGAAGAGGGTTGCATTGACAATCCATCACAATGGGCAGCACATTGAACACATCTTATAAGTGGTCAGAAACTTGTACCAAGCACACCATTGTTTTTCTTGTGACATTACCAATAACTTGTGTCACATGGCCCTCTTCCTATTGAAAAAACAAAAGTTGTATCCAAGATAGCCGACTTCTAAATGGCCACCATGGTCACCACCCATCTTGAGGAGTTTGCCCCCTCACATATACTAATGTGCCACAAACAGGACTCACCAACCATTCCCATGTTATTACGGTGTATCCATATAAATGGCCCACCCTGTACAACAATGAGTTTGAGATGTTGACTTGACCTCCAAATTCCTCAGATCTCAATTTAATTGAGCATCAGATACCAGAGCACACCTTTAGTGGAGGTCTAGTGGAGTCCATGCCTCCACAAGTCGAGGCCGGTTTGGCAGAAAAAGGGGGACGAACAATATTAGGAAGGGGATCATAATATTATGTCTGATCAGTATACGTACATATTTCAAGTCAATATTCACTTAATACCTGTCCATAAGTCCCGTTTGTGGTTCTCTTGATGCATTTACTGTTAAAAATGGAAAGCTAAAGCTACAACTGAAATGAGACTTTTTTGAAATTTTATCATGTAAGGCACAAGCACTAGCTCCATGAGTTGTCATTTGTGGTAATGAGACATCCTGGCCATAACCCTATCTTATTTTGGGCGGGAAAAAACCAAAAAGGCTGACACCCAGTGTTAAAATATTGTGATTTTTAATTTTCTGACCATGTGAGAATTAGGTAGTTCTGTCAATCCGAAAACTTGACTGAAGCACTAACTCTAAATCTTCAGCATTCCTACTTAAGGTGGCTCAGAGCTCGGAGGGTTAAAAGAAAAAAAAAACACCGATTGCACCATTACTCATGGAAACGGAAGGTAGAGTTTTGGAGAAGTGACGTGAACCACATATTGTAACATTTTTGTGTATTTATCTTAATTGCTTTAATGTTTAGATAATACAACAAACTGTCAAGCCCACAAATTAATATTGACCTTCATTCTTCAAACTGACAAATATGAAGTGTGATTGAAAGTTCTCAGAATTGATCCATAAAAATCAAACACCTTATCCAACTTACATTTGGCTGATCTTCAAGTCAGTTTCAGGCATCTGCACAGATATCGGTTTCTGTTCACACTGGTCTTCAGTAACTGTTCCTTACAAACTTTCTGACTTGCCCTCTTCAGTGAAAAATAGTCCTTCAGTTTAGTTGCT